CTTTTTTTGCCATCAATTATTTTTGGTTTTTGTCTTTGGCCATGATGTTTAGGGCTGGTGCCAGTCACTGTACTGCTCTTTCCAAGCATTGAATGGAACACCCCCCCCCGACATTGCTTTAGCAGTGCACCCCTGCTCGTCACTGGGTGCTGCAGACTTTAGCTGCGCAATCTGCTGATCAGAGGCTTGATTGCACTATTTTAGCCTGATCATGTGACTGAGCAGCAGATTGCACAGCTAACAGTCTGTAGCACCCTGTGGCCGGCTGAGATGCACAGCTAAAGGGATCCTGGGAAGGCGATCTTCTATATAACAGCAGAAAAGGTTTTTCTTCCCACAATCCTCAGCTCTGTATCTAGGACATGTGTGCGGCCGCCAGTGACAGCGGCCGATGGATTGTTATACAATATCAGTAATGAGGGTTGTTTTTTCTTGCCTGCGACCTGACGGAGGTGTTGTGTAGGCGGAAATCTGACCAGATAATGAAATCTCCGCCAGGGCTGTCTGGCTTTCATCTCTCTAATGAGGATTCCGCTCTGCCAATTTATCAATGGCGCAGCCAGCAGACTCATCGCCTCCTACACCCGGCATCGAAGCAATGTGCTTTAGACTGGGCACACACCTTACAACCATCGCAAGACTTTTGTCTTGCGATGGTTGTAAGGTAATTAAAAAAACGTACAATCTGCCCATCTTGGACAGGCAGATCGTACTTGCGATGATCGCAAGCCGCGCCCCCCTGAGGGGTGGGCTTCAGATGACCCCCAATGCCGAACGGGCAGTCCAGCTTTTATCTTACGAACATGCTACACACCCGCCGAACATCGTATGATGCTCGGCGGGTTTTTCGAACATGCTCGTAAGTTAAAAGTCGTGCGACCTTACAGTAGCAGAGGTCGCACAGCTTCCACACACCTTACGATAATCGTACGATCGCGGGATTTCACGCGATTATCGTAAGGTGTGTGGGCACCTTTAAGGTGGCCATACACTTTACAACCATCGCAAGACCTTAGTCTTGCGATGGTTGTAAAGTAATTAAAAAAAACGGACAATCTGCCCATCTTGGACAGGCAGATCGTACTCTCGATCATCGCAAGCCCGCCCCCCTGAGGGGCGGGCTTCCCATGACCGCAATGCTGAATGGGCAGTGTGCGCGTGAGGCATTGATCTTACGATCATGATAAAAACCAGCCGAAAATCTTACGATTTTCGGCTGGTTTTCTAGCGTGCTCCTTAGACAAAAGACGTGCGACCGGTCGTAGAAACGGTCGCACGTCTTCATTCACACTGCTCGATTCTCGTACGATCGCAGTGTATGGGCACCTTTACCCTGCGCATCAATGTCAGCAGATCTTTAAAGACAAACTCCAGCAAAACAGCCCCATGCACAGGTGAGGTGAATATAGGACCTGATCTTCCAGCCTAATTTGTGTTTTGGGCCATCCAGCCCAGAGAGTAAGGTCTCGTTCACACCTAGGCGTATTGCATATGCGCGTCTGTCGCGGTCCACGCGTTTCCGAAGGCTACTTGGCTGTATCCCAATGGAAACGCGCAACAAAACGGCCCAAAGTAGCACCTGTACCTTTTCAGGCGTGGGCCGTTTTGTAGCGCGTTAGGGACGGGCGGAAATACGTCAAGGTGGGAACGAGACCATTGAATACAATAGGATTTATATTTTTGAGCGTTTTGTAGAGCGTTCGTCGAGCATAGAACGCGCTACAAAACGTTCAGGTGTGAATGAGGGCTAAAGGTGCCCATACACCTTACGATAATCGTATGCGATCGACTTTTCGTACGACAATCGTAACGTGTGAATAGAGTGCCCCGGACCGCTAGTACTGTACAATCGTACGACTTTTGACGGTCAAGCATGTTTGAAAACTTTGGTCGATCGTACGATGTTCGCATGGTTGGAGGCGTTTCCGTCCGTCAGAAGTCGTACGATTAACACTGCGCATGCGCAAACGAAAATAATTGCGGTCAATTACCGCAAGTCGTCCAGGTGTTTTCTTTTTTAACTATCGCTGATTGAATCTTTCGATAATCGGGGCAGGATGGGGTCGTCGTACGAAAATCGGACGACGGTTCGATCATCGGACGAAAAGTTTCGTCTGATAATCGTAAGGTGTATGGGCAGCTTTACAGAGCTCTGCCGCACGGCACAGCCAGGCAGATGGCGACTTTTTACTTTGTTACAGTTAATGCGATACAGCGGTGTCCTAGGCTCACCTCATGCCTGTTGATTGGATAGCAAAAGAGCAGCAGTAGACTGATGGGGTCATCTCTCTGCTCACTCTGCTCTCTCCTCCTGTAGTTGTTGGCACATTTTGCATGCAGCACACCTGATTGGCACCCTGCCTGGCTCCTCCCGTTCCCAGTCTGAGTACAGCCGTGCCGGCATTGCAAGAGGCCAAAATGCATTTCATTGTCTTGATAAATAAATGGTGTAATTGGACAAATTTTGCAGGGCAGAGGCGAGACAGAGTTTGTTGCGTGATAAATAACAGAAGAAGACCGCCTGTCCCGATCTAGCGATATGGATTCATGTGACCCGCCTACGCTCTAGTTACGCCGTGTTCTTGGAATGACCATAAAATCTGCTCGTGAGATGTTCAAGCTGAAGTTTTATCCGACTGAAATCTGTCCCCCCCCCC